ATGTAAGTTCAAAATGAAATGAATAAGTTGTATACATTCATTTTTGTAGTGTTATTTATTTGTAAATGAGCCCCGAGTACTTTCGGTACATTTTTGTTTTGCATATTCACATGTGTAAATAAAATAAGTAATTATGTACATTGTTGTTGTTTTTTTAATGCAGCTTATAATTTTTTCACAAAACATTCTTCTATACGTTTTTTTTTTTTTTTACACATTAAAACAAATTGTTCAATACATTACTGAAAGTACTTTTTACAACATAACTTAGGTTTAACATCAGAAAAAAAAAAATACATACATTTTAAGCCCAACCCTGCCTCCATGTGTTCTGGGGTCTCCAGAAGGTGAATCTCTTGGTGAATGGCCAGCACCTCCACAGCGACTCCAAGGACAATGCGGTGACAGTGGAACGAGGCATGTCAAACACTCTGGAGACCACTCTGTATGATGTACCACTGGCCAGACAGAAGAGAAACACCAGGGTCTGGATTGTGGCACCCCATCCGTGTTGCCGTTCACTTCTCAGAAGAACCAGCAGCACTGTCAGGGTGTGTCACAGTCATTAAAAAAAACCTGTCCAGTGCTGGCACATTCAGCTTTATCCTGTAGTACAGGAGTCTGGTCTGATTTAGGAAAAGATAAACTGTTTAGAGCTATGACAAAGTAATTAGTAGCAGAAATATTGAGGTACTTTAGTAAACTATTTTTAGTAACCACTAATACCACATTGGAGAAAAACTACTTGACATATTTATAAACTTGGCTAAAGGGTTTTTCATTTTTGGGTGAACTATCCTTTAAGTAAAAGTATTATCTTGCATAATTTAATGTACTTAAGGTTTTGAGAGTAAAGGTATACTGTATTGTTCTGAAACAATTCGTCAGGATGGTTTTGCATTAATATTATTGCTGCACTACTGTGTATGTTGCATTTTACTTCTGAATATGTTCAAGGTTATTAAATTTAAAATTGCCTAATAAATATACTGTTGGGTAGTTTAGTCTACAACAATGCATCATGTTGTAAAATACCATATTTTTGTAGTGCTGCTGTCCTCTGAGGAAAAAAAAAAGAAAAAAAACGTAGTACTTCATATTTGTACGAGAATACTTAACGAATGTACTTCCTTACAGTCCACCTCTGATTATTTTGAAAATGAAAGTATCAACATTTTGTCAGACTATTAACAAATTTTTGCTAACTACACTGAACAAAATTATAAACGCAACACTTTTGTTTTTGCCCCCATTTTTCATGAGCTGAACTCGAGGATCTAAGACTTTTTCGATGTACACAAAAGGCCTATTTCTCTCAAATATTGTTCACAAATCTGTCTAAATCTGTGTTAAAAGTGTTGCGTTTTTAATTTTGTTCAGTGTATATCAAAGGCTGCATCTGAAGGACTCGGACCGTCAAACAGAGCACTGTTCAGCTGCCGCTGAACATTGAGCAGTACAATGCTCTATTTTTATTATTATTTTTTTTTCAGTTTTATTTTTATACTTAACTGCCTAAAAAATCTGGGTTGCAAACCTGTCTACATATGATCACCATGGCCAAGACAATAAACTATATAAAATCGCACCTTTGTAAGATATCAGTCAGCATTTGAACTGCTATGTGTGTGTGTGTATTTTGTGGTTTTTCATATGTATCATTACATTATTCAAGTAAGCTCCAAGCCAATACCTACATTTAAAGTTGTAATCCGACAAAGGATGCAGCAAACCAGTGTAACTTACCTGGCCTCGGTCTTGGCTAAGCTTGAGGTACATCACCGTCTCCTCCATTATAACGTAAAACATAAAAACAAAAATGAGCAATTCTGGCTCCACCTATCCTGGCAGGATTGTCCTCTCGTCATGCACCGTTGCTATGCGACAAAGCAGTAATCGGGAACACCTGGTTAGGAATTAGGAAATTCTGCGAAGGCGGAGCATCTCACGCACTTCGGAGGGCCCTTCGTGCACTTCGGAGGCCTGGCCTTCGAAGTGTGCACACTCAACTTTGGGACACAGCTATAGATTTACTGTGAAGGTAGAGTCTGAGTGAGAAGCATTTAAGTTCAAACTTGTAAAGAACTGTTTTTAAAGTCTTGGAATGGGTCTTTGAATATTTATCTGTGACATTTGAATTGCTGCTTGTACAAAACTTGGGTTGGGATGACATTTCTGGAACTTATTTGAACATTTAGGGAGGACATTTAAAAATGTCTCTTTACATTATGTTAAGTACTGTTGATGCATAACTCACTTAAGGCTTGTGTGGCCCAGATAATATATATTTATGGTTTAATTGGTTCATTATTTGCTAAAATGTGGCTGTGCAGTGGTCTGCTTGTGGACCACTGCCAAAATGCCACCGAATGCAGCTCGAGCTGTAGGCCGTGGAGAAGCAGATCCGCGACCTGGTGGAGAAGCAGGCCCAGCTGAGAGAGCGGAGAGCCGCGCTAGAAACATCCCCGGCTGACGCTCACAAGTCCGGGGTAAGTATACAGCGTGCTGCTAATTCTCCCACCACCTCTACTCCGTGTGTTTCTCTGCACAGGCCCGGTGCACCCAGGACGCGATCTTCCCAGATGTCCTTCACTCCGGCGCCGGGACACCACGGACCCTGGGTGCACCCGCAGCCTCTGCACCCAGGTCCCGGGCGTCAACCTCTCCCCCTCTGCCGCCTCCGGTCTTCGAGATCTCCACCCGGAACTGCTTCGCTCCCCTCCGCGAGACGGAACGCGACGCTGTGATCATCGGAGACTCCATCGTCCGGCACGCCTGATCTGGGCCTCAGGAATTTTGCTGTCTTGGTTATGACTGGTTTTGTGGTCCAGGGTCACATATTTGATTTTGGCAGATCAACTCCTCCCACTGCAACCACATCATCAGTGAAGCCCCTCCAACTTTAATCACATCATCAGTGAAGCTCCTCCCACACTGTAGTTCAGCAATAAATGCTGGAATATTGTCATCAGTTTGCAAGTGAAGAAGAGCATCAAAGCATCAGGAAGAGCTTAAATCTGCAAAGACTGGGTTTATTAAAGAGGACAGAGAGAAGATGAGAGATCCAGAACCCTGCAGAATCAAACACACTGAAGATACTGAAGAACAAACAGGTTGGTGTTTATTCTTCATTAATGAGGCTGTAATGAAGTTTTAATTTAACAAGTTTGTTTTACACTCTGAGTAAATTTAAATTAAAGTTTAAGGTCAATGTTAGAAAGTGTTCAAATGCTAATAAATTTGTTCTAATATAAACAACTGTGTATTTGGGTATGACTGTTAAATAAAGCCATTTTCAGAATTTAAATTTATCATGGCTTATTTATTTTGTTTTGAATTTGAAAGGACAAATACACACAAAAATATACTATATCAAAATATCCCTCTAAACACAGTCGGTCATGTATTAATTAAGTCCCAGATATTTAGAAGGACAAATAACAAAATTATGTTGTTTTTCATGCTAAACCTGTTATAACTAATTTATTTTATTAGTTGTATTATTATTATTATTATTATTATTAATTAGGCCACATCTTATTATTATCACTTGTTTTTATTGGTCTTAATTTCCATATTTAAATTCTGCAACGTTGTGTGATTTTTCAATGAAATATTTCACTAATAATTCACTCATTTTTCTTCTTTAATCTTCAATCACAAAGACTGTTGATGTTGATCAAATACCATGCGAGTCTATAATTTAAATTCCTTTTCATTTATTCGTGCAGAACAGCGCACCTTATAGATGCACTAGTAATTTCCCCCGTATTATTTCGCTTCTCTCGTCGCATCACACTCCAGTCCAGCGGGTGGCGCTAAGACACACATAGGTTTTTTTTCCAAACACCATTAAACCTCAGAGGAAGAAGATTAGTTTAACCATGAGCTGTTGTTTTGTCGTGATGCTGGTTTAATACAAACTGTTAGAAATGTGGTTTGTGTTAGTAGAAAAATACAGTTTTTGAATCAGGTGAATAAATACCTGTATTATTCTCATCCTGATAGTCGTGACTACGTTTTGAAGCAAGCAGGAATATCTGGAGGAGTATCATCTGAACTGAGATCTGCTGCTATGAAGATGGTGTTTGTTAAAGAGGAGAGTGAGGAGAACACGAGTGAACCAGAAACCTGGAGAATAAAACACGAGGAACCAGAAACCTGGAGAATAAAACACGAGGAACCAGAAACCTGGAGAATAAAACACGAGGAACCAGAAACCTGGAGAATAAAACACGAGGAACCAGAACCCTGGAGAATAAAACGCGAGGAACCAGAAACCTGGAGAATAAAACGCGAGGAACAACGTTGTGTGTTTTTTCAATGAAATATTTCACTAATAATTCACTCATTTTTCTTCTTTAATCTTCAATCACAAAGACTGTTGATGTTGATCAAATACCATGCGAGGCTATAATTTAAATTCCTTTTCATTTATTCGTGCAGAACAGCGCACCTTATAGATGCACTAGTAATTTCCCCCGTATTATTTCGCTTCTCTCGTCGCATCACACTCCAGTCCAGCGGGTGGCGCTAAGACACACATAGGTTTTTTTTCCAAACACCATTAAACCTCAGAGGAAGAAGATTAGTTTAACCATGAGCTGTTGTTTTGTCGTGATGCTGGTTTAATACAAACTGTTAGAAATGTGGTTTGTGTTAGTAGAAAAATACAGTTTTTGAATCAGGTCAATAAATACCTGTATTATTCTCATCCTGATAGTCGTGACTACGTTTTGAAGAAAGCAGGAATATCTGGAGGAGTATCATCTGAACTGAGATCTGCTGCTATGAAGATGGTGTTTGTTAAAGAGGAGAGTGAGGAGAACTAATAAAACACGAGGAACCAGAACCGCGGAGAATAAAACACGAGGAACCAGAAACCCGGAGAATAAAACACGAGGAACCAGAAACCCGGAGAATAAAACACGAGGAACCAGGAGGTTGGTGTTTATTCTTCATTCATCTTTAAATGCTAATGAGCTCTGCTCGCCTGGGTATGCAGAACGTTATAAAGCTTCAAGCAGTTTTAGATTTGTTGTAATGGGGTACTTTTTTCAATAATATTCATGTTAGATAATTGTGTAGTTGATCAAACATTTGATAGTTATCCTTATAGAAACATGGGATTTTTTATTTATAATGTTTTAAAAATAATACATTTAAAATCAATGTAACGCATTCATGGAAAGTTTCAGGGATGTATAATTTATAAAAATGTTAAAAAACCATCAAAATGACCAAAATTAAAAACTAAGAAACCCTGATGAATTATGATGAACCCTGAATCTTCATTAATAATGCTGACAGTTATAAAGCTTCAAGCAGATTTAGATTTACTTTACTGAATATAAACAATTATTTTATTTCAGAGATTATTGAAAAAAACAAGGAGAGTGAAGAACTGAGTGAAGTTGAAGAGAAAAATCATGTGAAAACTGGAGAAAAACCCTTGAGTTGCTCTCAAACCAAAGAGAAAGATTTAAAGAAAAGAAGAGCCAAAAAATCTTTCACCTGCACTGGAAAGTGTGGAATGAGTTTGACAAGCAAATATAATTTTGATGTTCAGTTCATACTGGAGAGAAACTGTTCACTTGTGATCAGTGCGGGAAGAATTTCACTCAATCATCACACCTTAAGGATCACACAAACATCCACACTGGAGAAAAACCGTACAAGTGTTCACAATGTGACAAGAGATTCAGTCGGTCAGGACACCTGAAAACACATGAGAGGATTCACACTGGAGAGAAACCGTACAAGTGTGATCAGTGCAGGAAGAGTTTCACAATAAAAGGACACCTTTCAGCACATATGAGAGTTCATACGGGAGAGAAACCATTCACTTGCGATCAGTGCGGGAAGAGTTTCACTCAATCAGCACATCTTAATAATCACATGAAGATCCACACTAGAGAGAAACTGTACACATGTGATCAATGCGGGAAAATGTTATTGAGGGCTTCAGCCCTAAAGCAGCACATGAATGTTCATACAAAGGAGAAGCCACATTCATGTTATTTGTGTGGAAAGAGTTTTTTATGTCTACAAAGTTTGAAAGAACATCAGGAAATGCATACTGCTGTGAGAGAGTACATGTGCTTTGAGTGTGAAAAGACTTTTACTACAGCAAACTGTTTAAAACGGCACGAGAGGATCCACACTGGAGAGAAACCTTACAAGTGTTCACACTGTGACAAGAGATTCAGTGATTCAGCAAATCTGAAAAGACACGAGAGGATTCACACTGGAGAGAAACCGTATCACTGCACTGCATGTGGGAAGTGTTTCAATAATTCATCTGCTCTACAGAGACATACAAAAAACTATCACAGTAAGTAGATCTCAGAATCATGTGATGATTTGGGGTGCAATGTCATCTGCTGGTGTTGGTCCATTGTGTTTTTTGAAAACCAACGTCACTGCACCCGTTTACCAAGAAATTTTGGAGCACTTCATGCTTCCTCAAACCAAAGAGAAAGATTTAAAGAAAAGAAGAGCCAAAAAATCTTTCACCTGCACTGGAAAGTGTGGAATGAGTTTGACAAGCAAATATAATTTTGATGTTCACATGAGAGTTCATACTGGAGAGAAACTGTTCACTTGTGATCAGTGCGGGAAGAATTTCACTCAATCATCACACCTTAAGGATCACACAAACATCCACACTGGAGAAAAACCGTACAAGTGTTCACAATGTGACAAGAGATTCAGTCGGTCAGGACACCTGAAAACACATGAGAGGATCCACACTGGAGAGAAACCGTACAAGTGTGATCAGTGCAGGAAGAGTTTCACAATAAAAGGACACCTTTCAGCACATATGAGAGTTCATACGGGAGAGAAACCATTCACTTGCGATCAGTGCGGGAAGAGTTTCACTCAATCAGCACATCTTAATAATCACATGAAGATCCACACTAGAGAGAAACTGTACACATGTGATCAATGCGGGAAAATGTTATTGAGGGCTTCAGCCCTAAAGCAGCACATGAATGTTCATACAAAGGAGAAGCCACATTCATGTTATTTGTGTGGAAAGAGTTTTTTATGTCTACAAAGTTTGAAAGAACATCAGAAAATACATACTGCTGTGAGAGAGTACATGTGCTTTGAGTGTGAAAAGACTTTTACTACAGCAAACTGTTTAAAACGGCACGAGAGGATCCACACTGGAGAGAAACCTTACAAGTGTTCACACTGTGACAAGAGATTCAGTGATTCAGCAAATCTGAAAAGACACGAGAGGATTCACACTGGAGAGAAACCGTATCACTGCACTGCATGTGGGAAGTGTTTCAATAATTCATCTGCTCTACAGAGACATACAAAAAACTATCACAGTAAGTAGATCTCAGAATCATGTGATGATTTGGGGTGCAATGTCATCTGCTGGTGTTGGTCCATTGTGTTTTTTGAAAACCAACGTCACTGCACCCGTTTACCAAGAACAGTGGTTTTCAAACCTGTCGTGGAGGACCCCCATTCCTGCACATTTTGTATGTCTCCCTTATCAGACACACCCAATTTAGGTCTTCGAAAGTTGCAAAGACTAAAGTCTCAAACCCAAAGAATTATTCTTTATAAAAGTTAAGACTCATCCATGCCCTCCTAAAATGCCTCGTTTAAACACGCCCCCACATGTCTACATCACGATGTGGGAAGATTTGTATAACTTTGATTCTCACTGTAGTATTGTTGCTGCCGCCGCCGCCATGTCGTAGAGATGCTGTGTGTTTCTTTGTGAAAGCGAAATTACTTTGTTTGGCCTTCCAAAAGAGGACACAACTAGAAATCAGTGGTTAAGTTGTATTTACAACACTGTTCCAGAACAGTTCAACCCAAATATTCAGATGTGTGCAGCACATTTTACGATCTTGGGAGAGTAGACTACAATGCCGGCTGTTCTCTGACTCAGAGACTGTAAGTACGTTTTTTATATTTAAAGAGTTTTTATATGTTATATTTTGTATATTTAAAGCGAGTTTTTTGAGCAATGTAGAGTAGCACTTGTTGTTTGTCATTTCTCCGATCACAAATGCAGACATGGTTTTATGTTTACGCGGCGCGATATGCAACGCAATGCATAAAAAACAGTACAAGTCATTATAATCAGTAATTATGTCCACACTGGAAGCAACAAATGCCTCGTTTGTAATGGGTTTTATTGTTTTGGTCGCGTCGTGCAGGGACACTGCATCACAGTATGGTAAGGGGCGTAACATTTCCGTCACACGCTTTAGGTTTTCGGCCAATCACAACGCACTGGATAGCTGGCCAATCAGCTCACACCTCGCTTTTCAGAACGATGAGCTTTGTAAAAATCGACCCGTTTCAGAAAGGCGGGGCATAGAGAAGAAACAATAATGTACAATATGTGTAAAATAATGTGTTTTTTTAACCTTAAACCGCATAAACGCATTGCATTATGTAGCAAATTTACTCTGGTTGTGTTTTGTTGTTCTCAATGAAGACAGTGCGGGTGGAGGAGGTCTCAGGATGTTTTATTCTGAAGAAACAGGTCTGCAGAAACACACAGAGCACAGTGAAACTTTTTTGGGATACACCTCTCTCACCTTCAGTCTGCCCATACAGCATGGAGAAAGCTAGTAAGCAAAACCAATCTCGGTAAAGCAATTTATTGCATTAAATTTCATGACATCACAGTCTTACATTACACTTAAACACTATTTATCTCATGAAATTAATTGATGACATCGTTTACACTTGGAGGAATGTCCTTACCAGCACTCTCATTTTAAGAGCGAGAGAAAGCACAACCGACCCCCTCAGCAGCATATATATGTGATTCTAAAGATGGCACCGTTCGCACATTGCAGGAGGTATCATGTGCATCACCAATATGTGCCCCATATAAGACAATATTCTGCATGAACGGTTCCTACTAGAATTAATTATGTACATTATGCCTCATTATAACTTCAAACACAAGTATGAAGCACAAAAAAAAGTTTTGATGAAGTTCATTAACAATATTCATTATATTTTGTAATATTTGAACCAGCTACATTTACACCAAATACACAACATAATGTTATTTTTAGCAGTATCATATGACCCCTTTAATTTAAGTGGAATGCCAGAAGAACATTATCCAAACATATCGTTTGCCAAGCCATGTTATTTTTAATTTGCTTCAGGAAATAAAAGATGACTGGGAACCCTCAACTAGGAGTCACGCAATACCAGCTCCAACCCTCAACTAGGAGTCACGCAATACCAGCTCCATCAAAACTTCTTGCAACCCTTAATTTTTGGCATCCGGTTCTTTTCAAAGTACTGTGGCTTCTTTATTACTTTATTCTTTATTTGAGACTATGATAATCTGTGCTGTGCTTAGTATATTGCGTTGGTCGATATGTAAATGAGATGTTGCGTCTGTGTTCTTTAATTTGCACGTTGTTAGTAAATCACCCGCATAAATTTCCAAGCCCAACGAATTGCGCTCTCACGCTAATTTGCCCTGTTTAGTAAAACTAGCCCTAAATGGTTTAAATTTTCTAAAGCTGCTTTAAGGCTTTTACTGATGTTACAGAATCTGTCCTGATCTAGTGTCCGTCTGTGTTCAGTGTTGACAGGCTGCTGTTACAGAGTCTGTCCTGATCTAGTGTTCGTCTGTGTTCAGTGTTGACAGGCTGCTGTTACAGAATCTGTCTTGATCTAGTGTTCGTCTGTGTCCTGAGTTGACAGTATGCTGTTACTGATGTTACAGAATCTGTCCTGATCTAGTGTTTGTCTACTCAGTGTTGACAGGCTGCAGTTGCTGATGTTACAGAATCTGTCCTGATCTAGTGTTTGTCTGTGTCCAGTGTTGACAGGCTGCTGTTACTGATGTTACAGAATCTGTCCTGATCTAGTGTTCGTCTGTGTCCAGTGTTGACAGTCTGCTGTTATGGATGTTACAGAATCTGTCCTGATCTAGTGTTCGTCTGTGTCCAGTGTTGACAGTCTGCTGTTATGGATGTTACAGAATCTGTCCTGATCTAGTGTTCGTCTGTGACCAATGTTGACAGGCTGATGTTACTGATGTTACAGAATCTGTCCTGATCTAGTGTTCAGTGTTGATATGCTGTTACTGATGTTACAGAATATGTCCTGATCTAGTGTTTGTCTGTGTTCAGTGTTGACAGGCTGCTGTTACTGATGTTACAGAATCTGTCCTGATCTAGTGTTCAGTGTTGACATGCTGTTACTGATGTTACAGAATATGTCCTGATCTAGTGTTCATCTGTGTGCAGTGTTGACAGGCTGCTTTTACTGATGTTACAGAATATGTCCTGATCTAGTGTTTGTCAGTGTCCAGTGTTGACAGTCTGCTGTTACTGATGTTAGAGAATCTGTCCTGAACTAGTGTTCGTCTGTGTCCAGTATCGACAGGCTGCTGATACTGATGTTACAGAATATGTCCTGATCTAGTCTTTGTCTGTGTTCATTGTTGATAGGCTGCTGTTAATGATGTAACATCAGGACAAAAATCATGGTTCATTTTATAGCTACTATGGTTTTACTACAAAAACCATAGTTAAACCATGGTTTATTATGTGGTTACTATGGTTTTACTTCAAAAAACATAGTTTAACTATGGCTACTGTAGTAAAACCATGATTCATTTTGTAGTTACTATGGTTTTACTACAAAAACTAGTTAAACCATGTTAAAGACGTCGAGGGCGTGTCCAATCTGGATGAGCTCATTTGGGGAGGTCACTATAAATATACGTGATGACCACAGTGACATCAGATGCTGCCTCTGGACATGAAGAGCTTCTCCGGCACCAGAACCATCGCTGATATTGCCTTGGGTCAAGTCAAGTCACCTTTATTTATATAGAGCCTTTAACAATACAGATTGTGTCAAAGCAACTGTACAGCATTAATTAGGAAAATAGTGTCAATAATGCAAAATGACACTCAAGCACTCAATTTTCAGTTAAAGGCACTTCATCATTGAATTCAGTGATGTCATCATCAGCTCAGTTCAGTTTAAATAGTATCTGTGCAATCAAGTCGAAAATATCGCTGGAAATTAAGTGTTCCCAACTAAGAAAGCCAGAGGCGTCAGCGGCAAGGAACCAAAACTCCATCGGTGACATAATGGAGAAAAAAACCTTGAGAGAAACAAGGCTCAGTCGGGGAGCCAGTTCTCCTCTGGCCAGACGAAACCAGCAGTTCAATTCCAGGCTGCAGCAAAATCACATTGTGCAGAGGACTCAACTGGCTCCTGTGGTCTTGTCCCGGTGGCCGTCTAGGAGACAAGGTCTTTACTGGG